GGTCCCATCTCAAAACTGTGTTGTATAGCTTGCACATGCAGAGGGCAGCCTGCCTTTCTTTAAGCTTAGTGATAGCAGGGGGCTGCTTTGAGTGCCACTGGATGCAGCTGCTGAGATTGAAGGGGCAAGTCCCGGCAAAGCTTATATGATAGGAGGCAAGGCTGCTTCTTACCATACAGGTTCACACTTGAACCTCAAAGTGACTTCTGCTTCACAAGCTCTCCCATGAGCCTTTCAGTCTTGCAGCTGAAGTTTGGTATTTGAACTACTGTTGGTGGAAGGAGTTAATTAATTTTTTTGTCTGTAAAAGGTAGGCAGGGCTACCCTGGTGCAGGGCCTTCCTGTGGCAGTTTATTACGTTTGTGTTAGTTTAGAGAACAGGCTCCCAAGCTCAGTTTACCTGGATATTTGATAATTCCTGTCTCCACATAGGACTGCGTATATGCTTGGGACTGTATTTAGTGGGTGTTGGAGGTATCATTTTAGTGATCAGCGTACAATAACTGGGGCCACTTGTCAGTATTACTGGCTTTAATGCATGCATTTGAAGGTTGGCAGCTGTACTTCTTTCTTGAAAGACTGTTTTTACTTTCCAGTATGGTGCCAACAGGCTTCCTCAATGGTGTGCAGCAGTCTGTGGTCCAGGAGTCACAGATCTGTGCCCCAGAGGTATATAGGTACCTCTGAACTCACTCATTCTTTCTTCCCAAAGAGGGACCACTAGATGCTCAGGCAGCACTTTCATGATGCAGTTTACTTGCTGTACTTCTTGGCCATGTTTGTGACTAAGATTGGCTCTGAAATGGCCATTTTGGGGGAAAAAACATGAGAAGTTATAGCAGGGCATCTAGATCCTTGAAAACAAACCAGTGTTGGCCTTGCGCATTACAGAGGGCAGAGCTCTTAACCCCCGCAAGTGTCATTCTGCAGGTCCATGGGCTGCTTCATTGCACCTCATAAAAGGCATCCCTAAGTCTCTCCTTGTACCAGCACAATGGAGTGAGGAAACAGTGCAGATAAACTTACAAACTTTTGCATTTTCTGGTAAGTTGAAGAGAAATTGATGCTTTTGTAAATTAACATGTCAAACAGAAAAGAGAAATCTGAAGAGGCAGAAGTAATGTGTTTTCCTTGGGCTCTTTGATATGTTAGTGCTCTGCAAAAACCTCTTTTAGCATACTCTTGGAAAAACTGGCAGAGCAAACTTTTAAGAACCTTTTTATTGAAGTAAAGCTGGGAACTGCTTCCACCTCCACGATCAATGGAGAGAGGGATTTTCTGTTATGAAATGATGACAGGAATAGAAATGCAAGTGTAATACTTTGGAGCACATTTGCAGTCAATGTGTGGGATCGTATTCCTTGTAGGATCAGCCAAGCTGTTGTTAACCTCCTCTGAGTAACTGTTGTGTCAATATGTGGGGATTTTTTGGGGTCCCACAATTACTGGTGATGCACTGGAGCAGTGTTATGACCCCCATGCTATTCTGTGTGTTAACTCAATCAAACCAGTGTGAGTGGCACACTGAAAAACCCATGCGCTGCTGGCAAGGGAGGGGCTGCACCTTGCTGCTTGCAGAGCAGCCATCCAAAGCATGCCTGCTGTGCCCCAACCACCAGGTCAAGTACTGCTGAAGTTAAATAATGAGCAGCCATCTGTCCAGGTGGAGATCTCTCTCCTGGCAGGGACTCCTGCCACTGCTCCAGATGGTTGCTGATAGCCTCTGCTTACTTATTCTGGTCTCTGCTCTTCAAGTTTCCTTTAGCAGTGGTAGAACTGGTTCCCCTTATCTGTAGTCCTCAAAAGAAGCAGGACTGATTGTCCCTGCAGGGCTGCTGCAGAAGCCTTGGCCCTGGGGCTGGTGGTGCTTAAACTGTCTCTGCTACAGGGAAATGTTTAATAGGGTTTAAGGAGTAACATACTGGTGAAAGCATCTTGAAACAGCATCGCAAGTCATTATGATTTGGTTTGTGGGAGTTAAAATAACATGGAGGAATAGGGTAGGGGGCTTGTCATCATGTAAGCAAGTGTGAGTACTGGCTACTTCGGGTGTCCTGGGGGAGGGTGGAGCTGAAAATTCCCCAGAACTTAAAAAGTACATAGGAAGCAACTTGTTTTCTCCATCGTTTTTTGATAGCATTTCCAGAAAGAAAAGCAGTTTGTTTCTAGGGTAGGTCTGCAGAGGTGAATGAAGACCAGTGTTGCAGGGAGAGCTCGTAGGAGTGATTTGAGTAAGTTTTCTTAGTGTGAAAAGTCACGTTTTGTGTTCTGGTGTCCATAGTAATGCTCAGTGTGTTAGTGTAGTGTCAGAAATACTCCCAAATGATACAAAAAAGGTTGATCTTTCTTCTTGTTTAAGCCTGAGCTGTTATCCTGCTGCCAGTTTGAGCCAGGGCTTTAATAAATTATCTAGCATTTACTCCCTGGTGCGTAATGGAGACATGTACTGCGCTCCTGACACAGGAAGCCCAAGTCCTGCTGCAGAGAAGTGGCTCGAGCACGAGGCTGGCTCCAGTGAATCCTCACTGAACCTGCTTAACAGTGTTTTCCTCCCTGGTGCAGTTGTTGGTTTGTCGTCTTCTGAAAAGCAAAAACATGCAGGAGTTGAATGGGTGCAGTTTAATTTGCCTGCCCACAAGGGCTTGCTTTGTAAGCAGCAACATGGAAATACTGTAAAACTGTCAGCTGCTAATAAAGAAGCTTGTCTTTTAAGTTACAGTATGGCGCTAATAGCAGCTGGGCAGTATTTGTGCTTTCCCTTACCTTCGTAGGGTGTCAGATGCCCTTTGTATTTGGGCATCATATATTCAAGTCTGAATGGGCTGTAGTCACTGGTTCCTACTTTGGACTTCCTGGATTTCGTTTCTGACTGCTACTTTTCCACTTTTAGTTTCCAAAAACTACTCACTACAAGTTTTTTGCATATACTTACATGCAATTTCCATTCCAATAAACATTTTCCTTGCAGCTTTTTCACAAATCCAGCACTTCGAGATCCGCTTCACTTGCGTTTAGTCTCATGGTGCTGCATGTAACAGCTCTTAACTCGTATCGACAGGATTGTGATGGCTGTAAATCATGAGATATAGGAACCACAAGTAATCTGGGGCTTTGCTTCTATCAGGGCAGTGTGACCAGGACATTAATTCAGTTGATTATCTTTCTAAAGGATATCTGATGCAGTGTTTCACCCCCACCCCATTTTAGTGTTGAGTTACTAGTTCTTTTGTTAAATGGAGAAGCCAGGATTCCTACTGCTTCTCGTTCTGTGTGTGGTTGCTTGCAGGATAAGATCTTTGCTGTAAACCCGTGGTAGGCATCCAGCCTGCTGTGTTCTGCCCTGAGTAGCTTTGCTCTTGACTTCTGTAAGACAGCCGCCAAGCAGTAGTGTTGCTGAGTATGAAAAGGATGAAATCCTCTCTCCTTTGAGTAGACGGGAGGAATCCTGCTGGCTTTGGGGCGCCTGGGGTGTTACTTCCTTGCTCCAGCACTTTTCTTCTGGTTCTCTATGTACTGCAGCTCTTGTGCCTCAAAGGGGTGTCGATAGAGGAAAAAAACTTTTAATTAAGCTACTGCTGTAGCCCATGGGAATATTTAAGCCATGCAAGGGTTTTCTTTCAGGTGAAGGTTTCTGCAACTGCAGCAATGCAGCATTAGGCAGCAGGCGTTAGCCATTCTGCCTTGTCGCAGGTCAGCAGGATGTATGTGGCAGGCATAAGCTTTGAACCATGGTTGGGGGGAAAGCCAAGGGTGCATTATGGTAAATGCTGTGATGCACAGCCCCGTCTGGCTTTGTTGATATGCAGTCTTGCGAGATGGCTTTGCCATAGCACTTCATGTTGGTTTTACTACATCTGTTCTCTCTTCCCCCCCATTCATCTCATTCCCCAAATCATTTACAGGAGACTTTTCCTAGTCTCAAGTGGCCTTAGCCAAGCTATTTCCTCTCTTTGTGCTTTCGTTTCCCCAGCTGTAAAATGGGGATAATGAGACCTGCTTTCTTTTTTCAGGCACTTAGAGATGTGCTTGCGAAATGCGCTATTAAAAGGCTTACTATGTATAACTTCTATACAAACAGCAGTTGTCCAAGTTTATTTGAATTACTTTATAAAAGTCCAAGGTTCTGAACATCCTTTGTTTTTAACAGAGGATGTTATGCACTAAAAATGCTCAAAATGTGAAGCTATTGATTGTTGCTGATAAGTTTATAGATAATAAAGCATTAAATCATCACCGCCTATTATCAGGCTTTCTTGTGTCTTTGGAAGCTGAAAGCGGTTTTGCATAAGCAGGTCCCTTGTCTGAGATTGATCAATAAAAGGTTTTCAGCAGAAGCTTTTATTGCCACGTGGTTAAAATGTTCTTCCTGTGCATCCTGTACACGATGACTTCAGCGCAGAGAAAGATATAACAATCCTTTGTGGGGTAATTGGATTACACAGAAGTATTTTGGCTCTATGTTGAGGTGGATATTGCCACTTTGGGTTTCAGTTCACTCCCACTACATGTTGCACTGCCTTATGCTTGGCTGGGAGGGTTATCTTGCTTTTCATTGTGCTTGTCCAGCAAGTCTTGCATGTTTTAATTGCAGCAAACCAATGCTTCAACAGGGAAGGGAGGAAAAATTGGAAGCAGGGAGGGAAAATCAAAGCTGAAACTGGACATAGCTGTTGAAAACCCTGTGTCTCTCATTAGCAGAAGTGTGTCTGGTGGCTCATGAACCTGTTCATGAGAGCAAATGCAGAGCTTGGTTTGAAAGCAGCAAATGCTGTGATGGGTGCTGGTGGTGTGTGCTGCAGAGCTTCATGCCCACCAGCCTCTATTGCTCCTCTCAAGTTGTTTGGGGCTCTGCCCTGCTAAAATGCTGATACTGGAGTTACAGGAGTATTTTGAGGGGGTATTTCAGGAGTGTGAATTTAGCATTTTGCTATGCACTGAGAGTACTGTACGTAGCTTGGCTTTGTGAGCAGGTCAACGGCAGTTTTCATGTTGTTTTGCAGACTGTTTCCATCCTGGAGCAGAGGCTGACACTCACTGAAGACAAGCTGAAGGAATGTCTTGAGAATCAGCAGAAAATCATTCAGAACAAAACGAGCTGATTTCCTGAGAGAAGACAGGAGCTGGAGGCATTGGGAGGTTTGAGGTTGCTTGTTTCCTGACAGACTGTGTGTGACTTGCTTTAAGGACTTGGAGCGCGATCTATTTTTCAATTGGAATGTACAGTGATTGTAAATAAGCTTTGTTACTTTACTAAAATAAAAGTAATATTTTATTCATAAGCGTGGATAACAGTTGTCATCTCCTGTGCTTTCCAGAGATGCAGCAGCCAGCGTGTGGTCTGAGTACTAACTAGGAAGGTTGCATGTCTCCTGCCTTTGGTGCTGCTGAGGTAGTTTTGACACGTTTAAGCATCTTGGAGTTGCTAGATGTCTGGCACAGGCTGTATTAAGCCGGTTGCTGAGGTGTGTGTTAGCCATAGGTGACAGGCAAAGAGCTCCCAGGATATTTTGGGCAGTGGGAGTTCTCTGTTCTCAGAACATAGAGAGCAGGTGAGGTCCCAGTGCAACCAGCCCTGGGAGAAGGGTCTGTCTCACCTGAGTCCTGGGAGATGCCTGCAAAATCTGGCAAGGAGCAGCCCCTGGATGGTATTTGTGCAGAGGCAATTAAATCCAGTGGTGGGATTTAACCTGCTCTCTTGTGCAACGTGTGAAAACCAATTGCTTGAGGCTGGCAGAGAGTCCCTGGTGGGTCAGGTGCAGGGTGGACGTCAAGCAGATTTTGCTTTGTCTTCATGTCTTCATCTGCTTCTTACATTAAGGGCAGGGGAGAGGGAGAGAGAAGGCAACCAAATAGCAGAACATTTGCTCCATTGTGGAACTTCCCTTTTCTCGCACTGGACTGACTGCCTTTAATTTTTAGTCCTTTTGCAGATGTTTTCACAGTTGGATAGCTCATCACTCACACCTACGCTCTCGCCCTGCTCCCCTCATCACTCCCCTGGCTTTTTCAGGGCTTTAGCAGGTGTTCAGTATGTAGCTGCGCAAGAATTTGGACTTCTGAGAGGTCTTGTTCTCCAGCACCTCTTCTGTCAGCGCACACTGGAGGTCTCCTTTCTTGCAATAAACTATTACCCACATTCCTGGAGAAACAAGCAGTGGGAACCTGAGCACCTCAGGGTTAATGAAACCCTCCTCACCACTGTCTGTCTGACCTGTTCAAACAGGGGCTGCCTCAAGCCCTACCCTCGGTGGTCCCTTGTGTCACAACCATCTGCCAGCATTTCAGGGCTTCCAGGGCCCCCCTCTCCAGATGTGCTGTGGGCATTCTGGGTACTTGCCTGGAAACTGGCTCCTATCCTTATTTCACATGGGACTTAGCAGATCTTAAAGCCCGGCCATGTGTTTGTTTCTGGTTTGGGGTTTTGTGCACCTGTTTCTGTTTCAGGCTGTGTCTGCTGGTACAGTGTCATGATAATGTTAATACTCCTCATCCCATCTGGGTGAAGCAGTTTCGTCACCAGGAAGTTTCTGGTAGCCTTCCCTCCTGGTACTTTCTACATCTCTAATAACCCCTTGTTGGCATTATCACAATATTTCACTCTTTCATTTGTGGAAGGCTGAGAGCTTTCTCATTTCCCTGCTTAGTGGGCTGATTATAAATCTGAGTTTCTCTCTGCTCTGCCACAGACTGTTTGTTTTCTGTTTCCAAGCTCCGAGTCTGCTAAATCATTATTTTCTCTCAGATTACACTAATGGAATCAATTCAGTGATGTTCTTCCGTGCTCTTGCTATAAGCTTTCAGTGGCTTTCAGCTGAGAGACTGACATCATTTTCATTGAAATGAGCTTATGTAGTAATGTGGATGGGTGGGGAGGAGGGGACTCAAAGGTACGTGCAGCCAATTTGCTGCTAGGAGAAGCCTGCTCCTGCCCTGATCTGCTGCTGCTGAGGCAGTTGCAAAAGTGAGTTGCAGGAGCCTAATTGACCAACTTGATCCTCGATGTTGTGTACTGATCTTTGAGCTGGGGCATGAGGAGGAGAAGAAACTGTAAGCTATTGCAGCATTCATCAGTTTTGAAGCTTTAAAAATAGTGTTTGCTTCCTTTAAATGTGTAGTTTCTAATGTTGTGGAGACCACAGAAGGAGGTTATATATAGTGTTTTAGGGAGAATGGCAATACAAATCACTTGGGCACATTCAGTGTAGGTAATGTTTCTTTTCAGGTGTTCTGATTAAATCCATTTGAAAGATTCAGTTGTGTTTCTAAACCAGATGAGACACTCAGGTGCTGAAGCACAAGCCAGTGGGATGTAGGGTGTTGCGGTTTAGCCCCAGCTCAGCCCCACACAGCCACTCACTCAACACCCCTGGTGGGATGGGGGAGACAAGCAGAGGGGTAAAAGTGAGAAAACTCGTGGGTTGAGATGAAGACAGTTTAGTAGGTAAAGCAGAAGATGCAGCACAAACAAAACAATTCACCCCTTTCCATCTAACAACCTCTATATGATTTAAGTGGCAGGAAAGGTAATCTAAAGGGAATTTCTTGCAACAGTACTCTCCAGCTCAATCGTTTCCTTGGCTCAAATCTCAGCAACTTGCTCTCTTCGTTTCCCCTCTTTACAACCTCCTACCTGGTGTATGATATCAGGTCTTAAAATGCACCAGCACTTCTAAAGGGTGTCTGATGGTTGAGAGGCAGGCAAGGTGTTGGAATGAAAACATTTAACTTATAATCCTGCTTAAACATTGAGCACTAACCTCAAAAAACATCTGAGAAGCCCAAATCCGATTGCGTGTCTTGTCCCTAGGCTCCATGCTTAACTCTGTCCCCTAAGCACTGGGGGTTTTGAGCGCTGAGGGCAGAGTAGCCTCCGGAGTGAATTAAATCCGCTTTTATTTCTACACTCATGATCTTTGGTTTTGACTCGAGCATCTGCAGCAGCTGATTTGTGAAGCTGTTAACTCGGGGAGCAGTGGCACGGCCAAGCAAGGAGGAGCACGTTGTCTGCGCTTGGGCTGATGTGACTTCCCTGCCGTGTGAGGATACACCCTACCTTGAAAGCTGCTTGCGGTGAGTGCACAGGGAGGCTGCAAAGAGTTAAGGATTTTGTTTTGGATCTCAGAGGCAGCTTGAAGCCAAGTTCTTAAAAAAGGAGTTCAATTTGTTGCCATTACATTTGCCAGACCTATGACCTCACTCAACTTTTAGCAACGGTTCTTTGTGCCCAGATTGGCCCCTGGGGAGCCCGGCACTGCTGCAAATGGCTTTTTGGCTGCTATGAGCATGGAACATGTTAAACATAACCGTGATCTGTGAAAAAGTAAGAATCTTCAAGCACTGCCCACTTTCCTTCCTGTCTGGGAGCTGGAATTGAACAGATACCGTAGAGGAGCTCATAACTGAGCAGACAAAAACACTGGAGTGCTGTGCTATTGCCTCTTCCAGCTGGGAAGCGACATGGCCGGGAGCATCCTCTGCCAGCAGAGTCATCACTGGACATGAGTCTGCCAGCTAGCTACAAAATAAACCCCAGCTATGATCTAAGTAGCTGGGCTAAAACTAGCCAGCCTCGTGGTACACACTTCTTATATAACCTCCTTACAGAGCTGCTCTTGAGCAAAATGTTTGCTGGAACCCGAGTGAGTAGGAGGGGAGGGAAGCAAATCGCTTTGCAAGGGTTTGTCACTTGTGACGTGAGCAGGGCTGCGTTTCTTCCCTTGCTTTTAGAAATGCTTGGTCTCCAAGTGCTTCGCAAATGGTGTGACCTGATCAGCTGTAGTTTTGGGAAGGGAATGTGATGGGGAAGGAGATTCTCTTATTGATGCTCATCTGCATGCTTAACCTGGGTTTAGCGTGCTGTAGGAAGTTTCATGTGTGTCTCTGGGAAGGCTGAGGATCTCTTTCTAGCTGTGCAACAGACCTGCCATTGCAAGCAAACATCAATCCCCTGTTCTCCTTGTCAGGGGAGATGTGTATAAACTACATCCTCTATCGAGGTAGAGGTTCTGTGGGCAAAGATCTCGTTAGAGATTTGAATGTATTGTCAGGAAGAGCGAGGTGGGCTCCCTTCCTGAGCACAGGTCTCTAGCATCCTTTACATCCTCCTTACCTCCTTGTAGCACAGCAGCTGGTGCTGCTGGGGGATGTGAGCTGAGCAGCACCTTTCTCCTACACAGCATGAGTGGTGGCTGTTATCTAGGGCTTCGGTGGAGCCTGAAGTTAGCTGGTGTCACTTCTGAGCAGAGTGGGGGTACATCCTTCTTGTGAGGGGCTGCTGTGGAGTGCTTTCTGGGGAGGAATGAACAGTGTGAAAACCGGGGTGTTCTAGCCAAGGGTAACTCATTGTCTGCTTGCCTGCAGCTGAGACAGGCCAGGTGACCACTGCTTAAGGCCATGAATTTGCCATCTGCAAGGAAGTCTTTCCCCAGTGGCCACCCGTAGATTTCTTTATACTCGCTCCAGCCCAGCACTTCCTCCCTGATAACACAATACAGCTGGAAATGCACCATTTTGTTGTCACAAAGCAGTTAGACTGCATCAGCACTGTGACCCAGTGCCAAAAACCTGTCATATCTGTTCTCCTTTGCTGTTCCGGCTCTCTGCAGGCATCTTCTATGCAGCTAATAACTCACTGCTGTCTTCCAGACTCCAGTCAAGCTGAGGATACAGTGGTGCTTGGTGTGGCACAATGATTTTTCTGCAAGTGTCTGGTGAGGAGTGCTATAAAAGCTCATCCCTTGTAGCACAAGCTTACTCCAAGAGCTTGTGGCTTCGTGGAGCATGTGCTGATGGTGGTAGCTGTTCTTTCAGCTGGTGATGGAAAGGGTTAAGTTAACTAGCTGCCTGGTTGGAGCTCCTGCATGGCCTCTCTTGTCTCTGGGGCAGCTGCTCTTGGCAATGTGTCCATCCTCAAGTTTGCACAGCCCTGCTGAAGGCTGGAGCTGCGCTTTGGTGTGTGAGTATCCCAGTTGGAGAAAGAACACCACTGCTCAGCTTGTGGGCTCTCTCAGCTTGGGAGTGTGCTGGGCACCATGACATCCTCCCAGGAGGAGAACCTCCTCACAGCTTGAGATGAGCTGGAGGGGATATTAGTGCTCTTCTCCTTCTGTGAATGTACTCTGCCCCGTGTAGATGCTGTAACAGCAAGAAAGGCTCTGCCTGCCTGCTGCTACGCTTGGCCCATGTGGAGCCGCGTGCACCTTGTGCCACCCAGAGTTAACCACAGTGGTTCTCATCCTGTGAAAGCCTGGGAATATCCTTTTTTTCTTCTCTTCTACGT